TGGGGATCACCCCAATAGACTAAGGGGTATTAGTGTCAGCACTGGGACAGGATTCTTCAGAGGAGCATGTGACACCTCTCTGACATTCTGAAACATGACTTCCTCTCCCTTTATGATTGGTCGCTGGAGTGTCAGAGGCTGGTGGCCTTAAAGATGGCTAGCTTTGGGCTTGTTTGTGTCACTAATAAGTTGCTGCAAGTGTTAGGAAACTTCAGGACAGGGACATGATCAGGACAGGGACATAAAGTGACTGGCATGGCACACACCCCAATATCAGGAGGCAGCCTTCCCCTGAAGCTGGTCTGAATGTCATGTCCACACTTGGAAAATGTAGAGAAAGGCTGAGCAATACAGGTTCCAAAGGATAAAAAAAAATAAAATAAAATAAAATGCAACCTGCAGAATGCCTTTTCCAAACTCCAGTTGAAATGCTCAACAGTCAACCATCATAGAACCTGAGTAAGGAGAGGAGGAGGGAGGGGAGGGGGCAGAGGGAGAGGAGGGAGAAAGAGAGTGAAGAGGGAGATTAAAATGGGGGAATTGTTGGTTTTTGGTATTCCTTGCAGTCAGCATGGCCTGTGTGTAGAGTCAGCTTAGACATGTATACCCAGGTTTGCGTTGCAGATTGGTTTTTGTAGCCCCCAACCTTGTATGAGATCCTGAACTTGACCCATGTATTCTGGAATTCATGATCTTCACAGAGAGCAGTGAAAGTTAGAAACTCTGGACTCATCCCAGTTCTAGCATAGTAGGTAAAGAAGCACTTGACATTTTCCTATTAGTAATGTAGTTTGGTTGCTGCAAAGCCTAACCAGGGGTTCTCCTAGCTCGGCCACGGCATTGTTCCTTGCACAGAACCTATTTGCCCACACTGAGGGAGCAAGAACAGGCCCTGCATGTTTCCCTTGCCTCTCTTCCGTGGGAGTCCTGGGCAGAGGATTCCTAGGTAGGCGTCCATGAATCCGCCCACATCCTTATCTTACCTCTAAGACAACTGAAGCTGCAAGTCGGAACGCCTCGTCTGTGCCACCCATCTTTGGAGGGAAAGGGCCAGAACCAAAACCTAGGCCTCTCACCAGAAACAAACACCTTTCTTCCTTCACACTGCTGCTATTCTAAAATATCAAATAATAACCTGACTAAGGTTGGAAGCAGTGTGTTGGAATCCCAGCAGAGTCTGCAAGGTGTATTGATTATAAGTGCTGGAGACCTCCCAGTGGAGTATTAATAACTCATGAAATTTGTATGTAAAATAGTAGGAGTAGTTTGTGAAGGATGCTCCAATACAGCCAGGCATAGCAGCTGTAGTCCCAGCAGTTGGCAAGTAGAGGCAGGAGGATGGCAAATTCCAGGCCAAGCTAGGCTACATAGTAAGACCTCACTGGCAGAGAGGGGCAGTATACAAATACAAAAGGGGTTTCTGCTTAGTAATTTGAAAGTTCTCTGAGTTAAGTGACCAAAGAGAAAACTGCTCCTTTGGAAGTATTTGTATTATATTAGTGAGGTAGTTATTTAGAACAGAATTAAAATTTTTGTGTTTGTTGAAGTACTTTTAGGAGAGCAAAGAGCAGTGCCTAGTATTAAAATGGGTGTCGGATTTATGGCTCAGTGCCTCGTCAGCCACGTGCATGTGCCTGAGAAGGGTCTTGCAGTCAGTTTGATGTCTACTGGTTTTTTTCCCCCTGAGGCTCTGGGGATAATAAGTGTCAGACAATATTGCTTCAATCCGCCCTTGCTCGTAGTTCTAATATGTTCAGTATTGGATCTGATGCTCAGGGTAAAGTGTTTATTGTGTAAACATGAAGATGTGAGTTCAGATCCCCAGTACCCACCTAAAAGCTGGACACAGCAGCATGGTTCTGTAATCCCAGTGTGTGATGAGGACACAGAGACAAACAGATCTGAGGGCTCACTGGCCTACCAATGCAGGCAAAGTAGCAAGTTTTAGGTCTCAAAAATTATTATTAAGAGCAATCAAGACGTTTGACAAGACCTCTGCTCTCCACACATAGGTTCATGTACTCTTATGCATGCATGTACTATCACTCACTCATGTACACATCTGCATGCATACATACACCACACACAAATAAACAAACCAGGGCTGTATTTTTGCTAAGACTACCAAACAAGTGATTTGGGGCATTCATGTGTTCTTGGCTATTCAAAGCACTGTCTGAGCTGGGGTCATATTTGCTTTCTTTTTGTTATGGTGTTTAACATGCTCAGGCTTGGACCCAAGTTAGCTGTATTTGATGTCTCTTAGTCCTATCGAAACCCTGATAGATGTTTGTCTAAATGACAACACCCAGTTCAATGCCAGTTAACATGCGGAGAGGGGCATGCAGAGTGTGTGTGACTTGTGACAGTCTAGGGCCTGAATGGCAAGACTGGGAACCTTTTGTGAAGGATCATTTCCTCCTTCAGTATCCAATTCTGGAAGTACTGTGGTTCTCTCTGTTGTCTGTAGCTCTGTGATACAAGAGCAGACCATAAATACTCACAGAGTAGGAGAAACCCCAAACTCGATGACTGCCCCCTGTGAGTACAGTCCTGGACCTCCTCCTAAGAGCCCAGGTCTCTGTCATGACAGGGACCAGCCTCTTGACAGTTGGATGGTGTCACTCAGGATGTGGGTGATGGACAGCCACCTGGGATCTGTGTGCAGCAGTTCTTCTGTAGGTTTGATTGTGAGTTTGATTAACAAGGTTACTTTCCAGATAAGTCTTCTATGGAGAATCTAGCAAAGGGAACACACATTTCTGTGTTGTTCACCGTTGTTCCCAGCTCTGTATGGGGATGTGTTGGACACAGTGGGGCCTTTCAGGAAACAGCAGGAAGATACTAGGCAGAGTGTGACAGGTCTTTAGAAGGACGTGTCTGCTCTAACCCAGGCCCACAAGCAGACTGTACTGAAAGGGGGGAGCATGAATTGAACGTTGACAGTGGGCCACAGCAGTCTGAAGGCTCAGGTGGTTGTCAGCCATAAGTTTAGCTCAGCTCTTTGAGTAATTTGTCACGCCTGGCTCAGCCCCTGCTGGGCCAGCACGTGCCAGCTTAGTGTAAGAGGGCCTGTTCGCCAGACGGCCACTCAGGCCTAACGTCCTGCTGTTCCCCCGGACCTGCGGCTCGCTGGGGCCATACACGGAGGGCCGCTCTGTGGTGACAGCCAAGAGCTGTGCAGAATGAGCATGCTCATAATGAGACGTGAATGGCATTAGTGGGTCCCTCTAGAATTGGGCCTGAGCAGGCGCCTCTCGCTGAGGAAGTTTGGCAGCCTGTTCATTAAGGCAAGTCACCAGGAGTTCAGCCCACAGCCCAGGAGCCAGCTCTGGAGCATGCTGCCCAGGCCTGGGGCTGTTGTGACCATCCATAGAAAAAATCATAAATCTTCAGAGGGGCCACTTTTGAAAGCTTCCAATACATTTTCTTCAGCAAAGAGTTGTGTAGAGCAAACTTAAAGGAAAATTCTAGCATGAAGCAGATCCTGACATTACTGTCTTCAGTGTGCACAGGTCATGTATGTGCAGCTTGGTTTAGTAACCCCCAGCTCTTGTGACTATTGAATGCTTGAAACAGATGGAGTGGAGCAGAGAAGTGCAGTTGTTCCTTTTGCATTTCAGGTCTTGAACATTTCCATTTTGATAGTCACAAGTGGCTACCAGTGACTCAGCACTGCTCCAGAATGACTCTGGTCCCCTCACGGTATGACACCATTCCCTGAAGACACCAGAGGAGAGAGCCTACATCCAGAAATCAGTGTCAGGACCTTGCCAAAAGAAAATAAGAGTGTCTCCTGTCTTAAAACAAGATGTAGAGAAGCTACTTGGAAGGGTGCAATTGTTCCCAACTTACATTTTCCAAGTGGACATCTTGAAAAGATTGTTTTAAGATATACAGAATCATGTTTCTTCTTTGCATCCCCAGATAACTAACCAATGGGGATCTACATTCCCTGGGTTTTGTGTTCATGAAGAAATAGCATAATTTTCAAAATAATCAAAACACATCCTTTAACTTTTGCATCTATAATGAGGAAGGGCAAAATGAGACATCATGCCAGCTCCCTGAGTGCTAATTCCTAAAGTTCTATGTATAGCGCCTCCATTCATTGTCAGATCATTCTGACGTTTCCTGTTATTGGGAGTGCATGATTCTTCACCTTCAGAGGAAACAGAAGCTCACACAAAAGGGAAGATTTGCTTTCTGCCCTGTGAAAGGCTGCCACAGGCGGGGGTCCTATTAAGGCAGCTGGAAAGTTGCTTCGGCCTGTTCCGCTTGTAAGTTTTATTGGTGACTGGTTTTTGATTACACATTTGAATGTTGTGTGTTCCAGGCTGCAGCTTTAATTAGAAGGCAATGGTTTCTCTCTTTCTTTTTTTGCTATTGCACTGTTCACCATTTGCTACATCCTCCATATCCATTCTTATTTTCTAATGCTCATCACTTACCCTGGTCCGAGGCTCTGATGCTCTTGCAGAATATAACTCCTGGCCTTCTCTTTCCAATAACTTGCCTTTTCTTACTTTTGTTGAAAGTGTTCACCGCCGTAGAACCAGCTCTTACTTGAAGTATCAGTTCCCTGTGTTGTTAGACTAAGAGTTCTCATTGACCCAGATTGGGAGTGAAGATAAAGGCTGTCTGTCACATTATGCCATTGCTATGGTGTCACAGTCACCCACCTCTCTTATTCTTGTTTAAGTCAGCCTTAGATGTAATAGAGTGCTTTGATAGAATCTTGTAACTTTTGGTGCACATATTTCTTAATGATATTACTGTTGGATATAATTGAAGCCCAGAAGAAATCTAGGCCTTAAAACTAGTGTCTCACTATTATGTGTGACAAATATCTAACTTTCTGGCAAAAAGCTAAAGAGTTTCCAAGATGCATTTTCACACGGGACGAGGAAAGCCTAGTAACTAACTGCATTTAGAACAAATTGCTAGTCGCTCCACGTGCCAATTGCACGTGCGTTTGTCTCCTTAACCAATTACTGCAGCTACGAAGAGCGAGCTCTGTATCTGGAAGCAATAATTCAGAACCACCGGGAAGTCATGACATTTGAGGATTTCGCAGCTCAAGTCTTTTCTCCCTCTCCCAGCTACTCTCTCAGTGGAACGGGTGAGTGTCTACATTATTCTCCTCCCTCCTGCTTACGATGCGTTTGAGTAGCAGATGTACACCTGTTTTTCACAGATAAATGCTTGCAAATTTAAGAAGAACATTCACCCTCTGAATCAACTAATGAATTTCAAAAGGAATGATGACATTCATTTTAATTTGTTTTGTATCCGAGCTGTTCGCTGTGTTTCTTTCTTCAGCTATCCTGTTAACCCTCGAATCTAGCAAGGTTAATGAACTTTTTCTCAATAATGTGCTCCGGTTCATTCAGGAGTGTGGGTTTCTTGCTGAGCTGGGAATATGTTGTTTAAAAGCGATGCCCAAATCACTGCGTACTTATCAAAAAAAGAGTTCTCACAGTTGAAGCCGTTGCTACTAATGCTAAATGGGGATTATGCCGCTGAGATACGAGGGTCAGGGATTAATGCCGGAGACATGGAAGGACAGTGTCCCCAGGCCCATCATTACAGAGTGCCGCGTGCACGCTGCTCTCTGGAGTGGTTGGTGTCATGCGGACAAGCCACCGACCAGAGCAGCACCTGGTGTGGAGCCTTTAGAAAGTAGCTTATAATGGCTTTCATTTTGAAAGCCAGTGGAAGTGCAGAATTTTCCATGTTTTGTTTTGTTTGTTTTTTTACTATTTTATATAATATTATCAATTTGAAAAAATATGTGCTGACACTTAAATTGTTGATATGATTACTATGGCTTTTTTGTCAAAGAATAAAATTATTACTTGTAAATTTCTGCATGTTTTTACAGATTAATTGCCTGTCAGAGAGTAAGTGGGATATTTAGTCTCCGCATGTTGAAATTCTCAATGAGGGGCTTCCTTCACCTTTCCTGGTTCAGCATAGCTATAAGTATGCTTAATAGATTTCTAGCTCGTGCTAATTGCTTCTGAACACAGCTTTGCTTCTCCTGTGCTGACTTGTTAACAAATATCTTACACACAAAGTGAAAAAAAATCAAATTCAGTGAAATAAATCACTTACAAATAAAATCAGCCATGCGGCATTGTTTAACATCGCTGGCTTCAGTCCGTGCCTCTTGGAGCTTTGTTGGGAGATAAGAGAGGCAGGCACTTGCATGGGGAGCCAGGAGCAGCAGGCAGAAGGCTTGGGAGATAAGCAAGCTGGCCGAGGTGCGGAGCTCCATTTACATAATCACGACTCTGCTTCCTGGTGAGGCGAGAGAAACACAGGGATGGCCTCTATTGATCTTTGTTGAACTGGGATACTGAGCAACATGAGAAAAGCTTATAACTTAAAGCTTTGATTAATGTTTCTTACATTAAAAAAGTAGAACAGCTGTGAATTGAATTCTTTTATACACTCTGCCAGCGTTCTATCTAAGACAAAAAAAAAAAATCTGTTTTAAGGGAAATGAAGATTTCATACCCAGTCTGGCTAGCGCTTTGAAATTGTGTCTAATTTTTCAGTGAAAAAACACGAGGACTCCACAGCAACAGAGCAAGCTAGTGCTTCAGAGCTCTATCCAGCCTCTTCTCATCCTTTGCAGGCACTGGGACTTGGTTTTTCAGTGCAGGCTTTTGTTTTTGTTTTTAACTTTTAAGAAAACATTTCATTTCTTAAAAAAAAAAAAAAAGAAAAGAAAAAAGAAAAATATGAAATAATAAATAAATATTTAAATTTCTTAACTTTTATTTTTAAGGCTGGTGATTATTATTATCACTGAAACAATGATAGGTGTTATTTTCTATGTATATTTTACCCTCTGTATAAATAAAGTTCACAATTATTCAAACCAGTTCAGATTCGGTTCCTAGGTAACAGCTTAAGTGAGCATTTGGGTTCGTGTGACCACTTGGGGGAGGGTGGTTAATAGGGTTTTTGGAAAATGTCTTTAAAAAAATTACTTAATAAAATTTCTGATAGCTTGTCAGGACAGGTATTAGAATTTTTATGGAGCAAGAAACCTGATATAGACATCAAAACAAATGGGGTTCATCCTTCTTTCAGATCGACATCAGCCTCATATTTCACGGAGTTTACAGCTTCTCTCTGCCCTTCCCAGTGATTGGGAAAGAACTAAAAATGAAGTCTATTTGAACTACAATGTGGGGGCAGTACAGTGGGGACAGGGTTCATCACCCAGTACACAGGCACCTTCTCAGAGCTGTGTTCTTCCTGGCTTGTGCGCAGGCACAGAATCCCTCCTCCCGCTTCTGCTTTCACAGAGGAGAACAATTTTCACTTATTCACAGTGCTTTTTATTTTCTTGGGACAAGCACAGTCAACCCCAGATGAGCCCAGCCCAGCCAACTTACACTCAGGGACTGAGGTGAAGCCTGCTCTTCCAAGCAACAAACCAACTGGAAGAATTGACCCTGAACTGCTTAAGCTCCCACAGTGCACACAGGCCCTAGTCAGACTCTCTGTGGCCATCAATGTCATCAAAGCAGAGCCCTGGGCTCCTTATATCCATATGCACAGATTTCCCTAGGCTTTGTTTGTAGCCTCCCAACAAGGGGCTTTTTCTTTCAGGAGGACACCTGAACTGTAGAATATACAACAGCAGCCCCCCCCCCCACACACACACACACCAGAGAGAAGGAAATGTGCCAGGTGAGCCTGACCAGAGACACTGCTAATGGGAAATGTCTGTGCCTCTCACACTCCCTAACCACAGAGCCCTGGGGGCCAGAGCACCCAAATATGTGCACTTCTGTCCATGATGCACCATGAGATCCGAATAGGGACACAGGTCCTAATATATGAGTTAAACTTCTGTCAAGGGCCTTTAAAAGAGGGTTCATCTCCCAATCAGAAATGCTATTTTAAAGCAGCCCGCCCCTTGTATCTGTTGCATCTATTGCTTGAATTAATAGTACTCTGTATGAAAGGTATTTGGATGGCTTTTTCACCCAGCCCTGCCTGTGGTTTGCCTTGTGATCCCTTCCCTTATTGACAAGTAATAAATAATCTAAAAGATAGCCGATATTAACATCTATATGTTTTATGCATGCCTATTTATATTCACTTAACCCACACAGCTATGGGAACAGAGAGAAGACTAAGTTTATGTTTTCATGTTATCAAGGAAGGGGGCCAGCAGAGAGGCCTGTAAAGGGTTAACTGGAATGGGCACCCTCGAGTGCTGGGGAGGGACTGATGTAATCACTGCAGCTCACAGCCAAGTGCATCTGTTCACCATGAGGTCATTCTTCTGCATGCTAATGACTTGGAGAATCCAGTCTGATGTTTGACATTATCCAAAGGGATATAGTGTAAATCTTTACCTTTGGGAGCTGCTCTTACTGAACAAAAAGGGGGAAAGAAACTTGTTTGGAATTGCATGGGAGTTTCCTTGCTACTGTTTTCTCTTTGTTTGTTTGTATTTTGGTTGTTGTTTGGGGGGTTTTTGTTGTTGTTTCGGTCTTTGCTTGTTTTGTTTTGTTTTTCCTGGAGTTGCTCTAAAGATTATGTCTGGACCTTAAAATCTGCGTCTGTTGATAAATGAATCCCAAAATAACTATTGTGGTCACATACAGTAAGTATGTCTCCTGTAATATCTAACTTTTGGAATTGGTACCTTGGTCAGAAGTTGGTGAGAGTATGTTTTTATTCTGAGGAATGCCTAAACCAAGTTCAAGATTTGTTCTCAGTATCTCTGGATTGGCTGGTGTTTACTTGAGATGCCAACACTGTTTATGGCTCCTGCCCACTTCAATATTGCTATGGAGGGCCAGCAGAGGGAGCACAGGTCTTTGTTTATTTGTTAGCCTCAAAAACAGCCCTTCATTTCTCCAAGACAGGGTCAGCAGTACTTTCTCCTTGATGACAGGTGGGTTTGTAAAGGCTCCAGGATATAAAGCAAGTGGGAGAAAATGTGTCACCCCGATTTTGATCCACTATCTGCTGCTTGAATGTAGGTCATATTTGGGGCTTAAACCAGATTAGTCTGGGTCAGTCTTAAGATGCTGCCACCATTCAAAGCTGCAAACTTTCTTCTTTCTCAGATGTGTCTGGATGGCCTCTTGGAAAGGAATACTGTGTTCATCTGTCTCATATAATAGATTTTTGTCATCCTTTTCTGCTATTCAGTACAACTTTAGACATTGCACTGGAAGACTCTGATCTGGTGCTATCAAGTCCACTTGATGGCAGCCAATGAAATGAATTCACAGAGCTGCAGACAGCACATCCTGTCACACCTCGGCCCCAAAGGGAACCTGGCATGTGGATGCTGCACTAGTTCTGTAGGTCCCTGGCCCATGCCCTAAGGGGTGAGGCTCCAGCAGCTTCCATGCGTGTGTGCTCACTATCATTCTGCATTCAGATCCTGGAAGGAACATTTTGCTGGGCAGTTAATAATCAAGTTAGCCTCCAGAAACAGACAGGTAAACCCCAACTCTGATCCAACAAGCTTTTCACGTTGATCGAAAGGGTAATCCTTCTATATATTCCATTCAGTCAGTATTCATTCTTTTTCTCCTTCTCCCTTCCTCCATCCCTGTTAAAATGGTCTTAGTAAGGCTTAGATTGATAGCACAAGCTTATGCTTCTTATGTATTTAGCTTTATCATAGCTTAGGGAAACCAGCAAAGAACATCATAGAATGTGGAGGTAGTGGGGACTCAGGGAATATCAGGTCTAGCCTCGCCTTAATAGCTTTGACGATGAAGCATAAATCATGAATGAACAACCAGAGAATGGAGACCAGTTGGACAACAGAGCCCTCACCTCCCATTCCACACATAGAAATGTCATCCGAGTGCCTACCCTGTGCTGATGGTCCCCTAAGTCAAGCAGTGGTGGTTTGTGGTTGATACCAAATCCCCGAATTAAACGTGAGAATTACATGTAAAGAACTAGAAGTTTTCCTGAGACATAAAGTCTCATGTCATTGCCAACTCAAGAGCTGACAACCAGCCCAACTTACACCCTCAGCACACTTGACTGCCCCTGGCCAAAATGTTGCCATGTGTCCCACAGATAGGTGACTACCCTCACCCCAACAATCCCATCTGGCACCAG